AATGCACGTGGTGAATACCGAGACTTCCTCCCAACCTTACGTGGGATCCAAACCAACAGCACCAGGCTTCATGCCCCAGGCCAGGTACGCTAAGGTTCCTCTATGGGCAGGACCTAAAATCATGACATGAGGGACCCCAAAGGGTGGCCCCACCAGATCACCCTCCAGGCGAATCTCAGGTCTACAAGCTCCCCCGCTCACTGAGAACTTCCTGATCAACTTCGGGGCCCTTCTCTTACATTGAGTGGAAAACCAAGGCCATCAGCTATCTGAGAAAGGCCTCCAGCAAAGATGAAAGAACAGTCAATAAAAGATAACAATGTCTTGGAAGAAACGGAGACTGTGTCGAGTGAAAAAAAATTTTCAAAAAAAAAGATAGTGTCGCCAGAGGGCGTGGCTCAGTGGTTGAGCATGGACCTATGAACCAGGAGGTCACGGTTGATTCCCAGTCAGGGCACATGTCTGGGTTGCAGGCTCGATCCCCAGTGTGTGTGTGTGGGGGGGGGGGGGCGCGTGAGGAGGCAGCCAATCAATGATTCTCTCTCTTCATTGATGTTTCTATCTCTCTCTCCCTTCCCTTTCTCTCTCTGAAATTAATTTTTTTTAATGTAAAAAAATATTTTTTAAAATAGTGTCATTAGTGCCCTAGAAAGAAAAATCAACTTCTATCTTCCCAGAGCCACTGTGGGTGGGTTTCTGTAACATGCAGCCTGGTGGGATCTAACTGCTCCGTGTATCAGCACTAGCTTCTCCGAGGCCGGCATTCCAGGGCAGGATTGTTCTCTACAGCCGACTGGGTGCCTTTGTGAATGGCGTCACCTCTCCGTAAGGAGCACGGATAAGTCTGTTTTTATCAAAGGAAGACTGGACTGGCTACTTCCGCCCACTGGAAACGCCGTCTCCGCCCATCCCACGGAGCGCTCACCTTTCCTCCGGAACAGGGCGCTCGGCCTGCGGGGCAGGATCAGCCTGCAGCCCGTGGGACGTGGCTCCAGGACATCCTCACACACCCGGGCCTCTGGGTAGAGGGTGCAGGTGAAGTACGAGGGCGCGCTGTCTCTTATCTCGGCCAGCTGACAGAACGAGGGCTCCTGGGCACAGCCTGCAGCAAGGGAGCAGCGGGCTCAGTGCTTGGGAGGCCTCAGGGACCGTGACCTTGGCAGGATCTTCTGAGAAGACAGGCCTCCGAGGGGTCTTTCCAGGCAGGCACATGCCCAGGACAGTCAGGGCTGTCCAGTCGGAAAGGCCCAAGAAAAACACCGGGTTCTGACAGCTGGGGAGAGGGTCATGCACAAAACAGGGGGTTCATGTGGCTCTGAATAAAGGCAGAGTCGAATAGGGTGAGGGGTGCGCAGTCCAGGAGGAGAGAGGGTAAAACTCCACCGATCTACGCAGGACCAGCTCGGAGACAGCCAGGACCTTCAGTCCAGAGGCCACTGGACGGTCAAACCTTATGAGCTCCGTGGATGATCTCCCATGTTACACTTTGCCACTGGTCTACGTGAGCTCTCTGACGGGCATATTTGTGGTTTTTTTTCTCATCCCCAAGGTCAAACACAAGGCCCAGAACATAGGTTATGCCTGTGGGTAATGGACAGATGAAAGGATGGATGGAAGGAAGGAAGGACGGAAAGATGGATGGAAGGGAGGAAGGAAGGAAGGAAGGAAGGAAGGAAGGAAGGAAGGAAGGAAGGAAGGAAGGAAGGAAGGAAGGAAGGAAGGAAGGAAGGATAGATGGATGGATGGATAATGGGTTTGGGAGCAGAGTAGAAATTAACTACAGTGTGAGCATCTTGAAGAAAGGAGTTATGTCCTTTCTTCGCATCGACCATGGTGCTAACGTTGCAGTGACCTGGGAGTTTGTCACTGAGTTTGATCTTCTCTGTTTCTCCGGTTGTTAACCTATGACGCCTGGCCATGGGGTCAGGAGGCGGAAGGATGGGGTCTAAGGATACTTACGGGAAAGGCACCACAGGTTTGCCTGCTGAGGTGAGAACAGGTGTTTGAACAGCCAGTGCTGCCGGCTGGGCAGGGACCGGTTCCCACTGACAACGACCTGGGTAAGGTCCACAGGGGAGAAGAGCTGTGACGTCATATCTGGAAGAGAAGGAAGAAGTCAACTTCTTTTCCCTTATCTCCCCAATCTCTCTCTCTCTCTCTCTCTCTCTCTCTCTCTCTCTCTCTCTCTCACACACACACACACACACACACACACACACACACACTTTCAGGGGATGTGAGGCCAGAGCAGCTCTGAGGTCCATAGGACTGGGAGTCTGGTCAGGCGAGAAGGGTTCAGAAGGTCCCAGAAAGCCCGAAAATTATGCGGCTGCAAAAATCTTAGAATCTTGGTT